TTTACAAAAATCTGCTAACGAATTCTTTAATATTACAAATTTTATATATACAAATTATTATAATTATATATTATATACAAATTTTTTAATACGATTGATTTTTGCTCTTCGTTTTTTACTGGATATAAATGTATATAATGTATAATAAATGTATTATCAATTGCATTAAAGAATCTTACAACAGTTGCAAAACTTGAACTTTGTATTGAATGCCATTAATGCTCCTTTCCACCAACGTAGATTAATTTTAATTTCGGTTCAACTTACTCTTTGTCTTTTTCTAGTTCTAAAGATTAAAAAAATATGAAGAATAAGTTGAACCGAGATTAAAATTAATCTACATTGATGAAAATGGGCATAAATCGACAGGCTCTGTCGATAGAACATTATAAGCTTAATTGGATACAAGTGACATCTACTTAATTTACTGAATTTTTCTGATCAATCAGCTGGTATTCTATGGACAGTTTGTTTACTGGGTAATTAGAGATATAGAATCAAGCTAATATGCAACATTTAATTTTTTTATATCAATAAAAAAAAGAAGAATCAATGTTAATTAAAACACGAAAAAAAATATATATATATGCACTATTTTCGATTCCATTATAATGTCATGTCTCAATGACATGCAGTCTGTTTATTATCTATAGTATATACACGTGAATCTTTTTGATTAGAGAAATGAAATCTTTTGTTAACAATTTAATTTGGAAATTGAAATTCGTTTCTTTAAATGCATTCTTCTTCATATGTGTCATATTTATATTATATGTGATATCGTAAGTATAATAGATGATGTTACATTTTTTCGATCAAATTTGAATTTAATGCATTCCTTATATTAAAAAATAAGTTGAATTGACTACCAATATCAGAAATAAGCCTGCGGTATATTTTCTTGCAATTTTTTTCGCATTGATATACTTTGTAAACCACAATAATTGAAATTCATTCTTTATCTTTCAATCTCTTTCACATAACTGTTTGGATCAAATTTGAATGCTTTGAAGTCATGACATTATATAAATCACAGTAAAGACTTTCCATCAAAAAGGGATGACATGTTACTGTAGAACTCAATTGTGCAGTTTGGAAAAATTTCCCCACGTCATCATATTCTATTACAGTTCATCTCGAATAAGTATTCCGGATCAGGTATTCAAGTATTCAAAATCTGATTCTTTTGAAACATTTGCGAATATTCCTAAATAAAATTAATTAATTAAAAGTTTAGTTAAGTACAATATTTATAGAATTTGTTATCACAAAAATTAATTTTGTAATTTATCTTTCAAAAATTTATGATTATATCCTAGTTTTAGCTAAAATAAAATTTTTAATGGAAAAAGAGGATTTTAAAGCTTAAAAAAATCATTGTTTCTAAGCTCTTGATCATAATTTTAGTATTTTTTTACATATAGAAAATTACGAGTTGGACAAGATGAAATTTTCTTTTCACTTTGTAAAAATATGGCTAGCCAAAAGAAATTTGCGATTTTCGGCTCTCTATGTAGAATTGGATTTGGACATTCATTGTATTTATATTGTTAACTTAAGGAAGAATGGAATCAAAGGAGCGTTCAGCAACATCGTGAAGCATTCTCTCAGTCAATTTCATCCATTTGTTCTTCTGCCATTTTTTAAATTCCTTTATATCAGAATGTGTTTATCATTTGAACTTTAAGTAAAACTGTTTTTCTCGTTTTTATATGGAGATACAATGTAATATGATTTATTTTTGTCTTTATAACACAAGTAAACAATATTTCTTGTAAGTATTATGTCTTTATGGTCAACACACAGTCAGATATTGGGTTGTCCGGAAAGTTCGTGCCGCAAAAGATTTAAATTTAATAAATGAAATTAAAAATTTAAATTTTCTGCGTTTCAATTTTTCTTCAAAATCGGCACGAACTTTCCGAACAACCCAATAATATTTTTCATTTAGGCCCGTTTCTATCAATAGATTAGTAGATTAACTTTATTCTCTGTTCAACTTACTCTTTATCTTTTTCTAATTCTCAGAACTGGAAAAAGATGAAGAGTTAGTTAAATCGAGATTAAAATTAAATTATATATAGAAGTATAGTAGAAACGGGCCTTAGTGACGCAAGTCGATAAATGATCGTTTCTTTGCATCCCACGAGTAATAAAGAACGATACCTGTGTCGATTTATATGTAAAATAAAAAGCACCCAATAAAATATGTTCAAATTTTTAATTACATCTAGAAGATTAATTATTATATTAATATATGTATAATTAGAAATAAAATATGTATTGGGAAAAAATGTTTTGTATATAATTACATATACATATATATATCCATTATATAATATCTTAATATTACAATAGAGCAAAGCTTTAAAAATTGATTTTTTAAATTGCAGTGACAATGATTTTTAACGAAGTCATGAGCAATCAAAGTCAAAAGTGTTCCTTTTATTTAATTTGCGATAATTCAGTAACAAAAGAAATCTTAAGAAAATTTTTAAAAAAAACGATATTGTAGGGAAAACTTTAAGTTTTCACTTGGATGGAAAGCCAAAAATTTTCGCAAATTTTTTTTGAACAAATGATAGATCCAAAGTGAAAAAAATTTTCCATCTTTTTTAGCTCGTAGTTTTGTATGTAAAAATGATCAAACTCACAGAAGCTCAAAAAACATAATAACCTTTCGAAAATAGAGATTTCAAGTTTCAAAACCGTTTTTTTAAATTTAAATTTCGTTTATTTTTAACGAAGATATATTGTAAATACAATTTTGTCCTAAAAAAACGGCACGAATTTTTTGATTAATCCAGTATATGAAACGTTTTTTTCCCGGGTCATTAAAAACGACATATAAGAACTAATTTTTCTTCTAGTAAGAACAAAAGGATTGATAAAAATATAAAATACATATAGAAAAATATACGTACCACTTCCAACCAGTTAAAAAAATCCGAATGTTCGTATATAAGATGGCAATTCTTTCTATTCCTTCTATTGTGCACAGAGCCTTATATTTAAAATTATAATAGAAATATATCTTTAAATGTTTAATTATATGATTGTATGTTTACATAATTAACATTTAATTCAATATAATAATATATATTTAAATAAATATAAATATGTTATTATAGGAGATATGTTGGGTCATGTTTGCGCAGAAATTAATTCAATTAATTCGCAATCATGATTGCTATCTTTTCAGTTTTCAACCAAAAACTCCGACTTTTCGATCAAATCTTTGGCTCTCCGGAAAGAAATTCTCTGGCTAATCGCAAAAACAAAATTTTGTTCATCTTTTTTAAATACACGTCTCGATTTTTCTTCGATATTTGGAAAAATATTGCCGGCAATAAGCATGAGAAGAATCAAATCTGATAATTTTTTTTAAATTTTAATAATGGCAATCAATCTTCAAATTCGATGATTTTTTTTAGATAATGCATTATAAGACTGTTTTAATTTCGACAATTTCGGTGCTATAAGCTATCTTCGGCAGAAAAGACGATCTCTGGAACAATAATCGAAAAATGACAACTCATGGCAGAAATGGCGGCAAATATTCAAAAGATGGAAACGAGTCCACATTCTCGATGTCGTATCTTTTCAATGGCGACAATGAGAATCAGGTGATGCGAGTAAACAAATCTGACGATTCGTTCGTCATGATGTTTTATATACTTTTTTGCGAAAAACACAAGCTGAACAGCCTGGACTTAGCCGTAATCAATTGGCAGGCGTGATTCAACGAACAGGCAGTCAAGATTGTTCCTTTCGATCACGATGAGCGTGAAGCAGTACATCCACCCAAGAAACAAGTACAAACGACCGCCAGATTACAAGCAACTTGCGGTCTTGTATCCGGAGTTTCGTGAAATCGCGATCATGGTACTGCAATGTGTAATCTACATTTATTCATTACATTTATAATGTGCAGATGAAATTTAATGTAATCTATATATAATATATTACATGAATATCTTATGTTTATTGTAAATATATTTAATAATATAATGTAAGTGTAATATACTTAATTAGAAAACTTAAGATTTAAAAAAGATCGGAGGAAAAAATTAATGAAGTAATAATATAACTAAACATATATACAAGAAAATGTTATAGAAAACTATTTTTTTTGTGTATCATTTTTTTACATTCTCTTACTTATTTCTTTTCTTCAACTTCTGTGCAATTTTTACGAACTAAAGAAATATAAATATAACATTTGGATGTGATATAAAGTAAATTGTGTATATATGCTTTTTATTCATATTGATTACTTAGGACTTCACAGGAAGAATTAGGATTGACTTCAAAGAGAGGAGAAGCCTGCATGTACTTACAGAGACGCTTCTGAAACATGATTTTGACTTACACGTGAACATCCCAGCAGATAATCTGAATCCAGCGATTCCATTGCGCTTAAATTATATTCTGTGGATGGAAGACTTGATGACTCATTCTAAATTGGAAATGGAGAAGGTTACAGGCATCGACATTGGTGATTATAAGATTACTTTTGAAAACTTTCGATGAATCATCCAAACGTTGCACTTGAAAAACAGAAACAAAAATTGAAGTTATTATTGCAATTATATTACTATTATATTTTGATATTAAAGAGTAATGTTAATGATGAAGATAAATTCATGAGATAATACTTTTCAAAATTAATTATGAATGCTATCTATTTTATAATGTATACCTGTATATTTAATATAATATTTTAGACTGCTATATGAGGTCTGAACAATTTCATTTTAAATAGGAACCGGAGCAGTCTGTATATATGCTCTATTACTGGCAAAAATCTATAAGTGTCAAATGATTGGTACAGAAATTGACAAAGAAAGTGTAGAGCATGCTCAGAAATGCATAAAGAAAAACAAATTACAAGATTTAATTGAAAGTAAGTTATTACATATAAACATTTCTTTTTATATAAAACATTTCTTTTTATATTGAAGCAAAAAAAAGCTATGAAAAATGAATGTTTTTAAAATTAAAACTTTATTTCATGTAACGGGATTTTCTGATTAGTAATTACAGTGAACTCCGAAAGAATTTTTAAAGATATAATACAGGATAATAGAGTTTATGACTTCTCAATGTGCAACCCACCGTTTTTTGAGAGTGAGGACGATGGCTTCGAAAAAGTCGAAAAAATCTTACCACCGAGAAATGCACCTACTGGAAATGACAGTGAGCTGAAAACCGAAGGTGGTGAAATAGGTTTTGTGACGAAGATGATCGAAGAGAGTGTCGAGGTGGGAGATCGAATAAAGATCTACAGCACAATGATTGGCAAAAAAGTCGACTTGGCTGGCTTAAGACAATTGTTAAGATCGAAAAATATAAAAAATACAACGTGGACGGAATTCTGCCAGGGTCACACAACACGGTACAAATATATTAAGTTTAATTGTTAAGTCTAATTATCAAGTATATTATTTTGAAACTTGAGACCTTTCTTTGTTAACAGATGGGGTTTGGCTTGGAGCTTCCTTCCACAAAATGTTGTCAACTTGACTACAGCACCTGTCATTAGAAAACATGGGAAGTCTATAGTGGGATCGTTAAAGAATTACAAAACCTCGATAATATTTCCTATGAATGATAAATTTTCCTGTATAGACGATATAATTAGTTTTTTAAAAGTAACAGCGAAAGAGTTAAACGTAATGTATTATTTTTTTTACTTCTGATATTAAGTTTATGGATTATTTGCAATTAAGAGTTAATTTAAAAATATTTATTACGTTTTATTATCAACAGATCAAGTTGCAAGACGTACCCATTCCTGAGGATAGTTTCGATAGTTGGGCGTGTCGAATAACTGCTAGAAAAAGATCGTGGGAACATATGCGCAGGAAGCGGCGTTTAGCGCAACAATCTGCGTTAAAAAAAATAAAAGGAGAAAGTGGTGAATGTATTGAGGTCGAAAAAATTGAAACTGGAAATAGTACGAAAAATTCAAATGAGGAAAGTTCTGATAAAGAATTATCTGACAAAAACGGTCCTTTACTTATTTGTAAATTCTGGGTAGAAATAGAAAGCCGCAATGATTCTCAGGATATAACTACACAACCTGATGAGATACTCAGGATATGGATGGTATTTGAAAATGGATATGGCGGTTTGGACGCGTTACATTCGTTGCGACAGTATCTAATAAACAAATTGGAAGTGAGGGAAAAGATTTTAGATAATTCATCGAAGACGAAGAGAAAGAAAAAAAGGATTAAAAAAGAATGCTAATGGGAGAGTCCATTACTTCAGATGCATTCGGGTTACAAAAAAAATTCTGCGAACAATAGGACAGAAAATTTTGAAGAGAATTCTTAATTAGATCGTGTCACATATAAAACAATTTATTCCATGCAATATGTTAAAAAAAATCTACAACAGGATAGTATATGTAAATCAAATTTTTGTAACGTTCTTTTTATTTCATGATATATGTAAAGTTTTTTGTGTGTAACTATATCCCCCCTTATAATTATTTTTTTTATTCTCCTTTTATAATACAATTTGGCTAATTTAAGTGCAATGTGGTAATTTTTTTTTCATTACGATTATTATTGCAATACGAAAATGAGTCCGTCGAGAATCGACGGCAGAGATTGACTGATTAATTGAACGTTCATTTGCTGCAGAAAAATTGCTTTCTTCAGGCCTGAAATCTCGCATAAGATCTACGAGGATTGCGAAATAATCAGCACTATTTTCTGTAATAAACAAAATCAAAAGTTTCGCTACATGACTACTATCGGACAATCGATATATCGCTCTTCGAACCGCGGCGAGAGATTCCGGATCACTGCGGATAGATCCAGAGTGAACGAAAAGAATTATAATTAATATTAACAGCAGGGTAACAATCGATTCCTTATGATACTAAAACTATAATCATGGAACTTGAAATCAGTTACTATTCGCAATGACTCAATTAACAATTTGCTATTAGCGTCCTTAATTACATGATCAAATAACAATGCCATTCGCTACATCGTATTTTCATTATCATCATTTTCAATACCGATTAAAGATGTGTAGTATGATTTTATATCAAGCAGGCACATTAAGAAAAACTTGAATTTAAGAATATCTATAAAAATATGGAAGCACTTTCTCGCGGATTAATAAAAGATGAAAGAAGATGAATTATATTTGTACGAATTACATAAATCGTAATACTTTCTTTTTTTTTCTTTCGATGGCAATTAAAATGAAAACATGTCTAAATGACACAAAACAGTGATTACGAAAAAAGGAAAAACAAAATAAACTTATTGAAAGCGAATTCGCAAATAACAATGCGCAATATATTATATTAATGCACATTAAAGCCTGTGTACACGCTACACATTTATAATTGATGGAATACAATAACGATATAATTTAATATTTACCAAACATATAGTAATAAAATATTAAATTTTTCTTAACATCTTATAAATTCATCCGTTTATGCATGCTTTAAACATAAACGTAAAGTATGTGGCTTTTAATAAGCATTTCAAGAAAAAAATGAGAAAAGAATGCGAATTCGCTCTACAAAATAATAGGGAAAATAAAGGTAATTAGTTCCGAGAGTCTAATAATGAATTTGATCGAGTTTGAACGTTACTTAATCTGATGAATTAACGACCGATACCGTTGACGTATCACCAATTTTTTGCATGGTAAATAATATTTGAGCCTTTAAAAAATTCGTAGTGGCTCCCGCGCAAATGAAAAAAAAAAAAAAAAAAAAAAAAAAAATTTTTTTTTTTTTTTTTT